TGAACTCTACACCACTAGTGGTGGGATCTATGATGAACTCTACACCACTAGTGGTGGGATCTATGATGAACTCTACAGCACTGGTGGTGGGATCTATGATGAACTCTATAGCACTAGTGGTGGGATCTATGATGAACTCTATACCACTAGTGGTGGGATCTATGATGAACTCTACAGCACTGGTGGTGGGATCTATGATGAACTCTATAGCACTAGTGGTGGGATCTATGATGAACTCTATAGCACTAATGGTGGGATCTATGATGAACTCTATAGCACTAGTGGTGAGATCCATGATGAACTCTATAGCACTAGTGGTGGGATCTATGATGAACTCTATAGCACTGGTGGTGGGATCTATGATGAACTCTATAGCACTAGTGGTGAGATCCATGTGTTTAATGAACTCTATAGCACTAGTGGTGGGATCTATAATGAACTCTATAGCACTAGTGGTGAGATCTATGTGTTTAATGAACTCTATAGCACTAGTGGTGAGATCCATGATGAACTCTATAGCACTAGTGGTGAGATCCATGATGAACTCTATAGCACTAGTGGTGGGATCTATGATGAACTCTATAGCACTAGTGGTGGAATCTATAATGAACTCTATAGCACTAGTGGTGGGATCTATGATGAACTCTATAGCACTAGTGGTGAGATCCATGTGTTTAATGAACTCTATAGCACTAGTGGTGAGATCCATGTGTTTAATGAACTCTATAGCACCAGTGGTGGGATCTATGATGAACTCTATAGCACTGGTGGTGAGATCCATGTGTTTAATGAACTCTATACCACTGGTGGTGGGATCCATGTGTTTAATGAACTCTATAGCACTAGTGGTGGGATCCACGAAGAAGAAAAACAAATGTGGGATAATACACAAAGAAAATGTGATGATTAAAGGTTTTTTGCTCTTCTTCTTCTTCTTTGAGTTAACCACCTGTGAATTCCAGCGGAAAGTCCTAGTCGTTTATCCATTTGGACTTTGGTTTTGTACCAGGGCCTGAGTTTTGCAGAAAAATCGGTTTCACTGACTTATATGTGTGCTGTTTGTGTTCCATGCTTCTTAGATTTATTCTAATAATGGAAAACATTGATCCTATCTTTAAGGTTTTTGGTCTAAATTAATCTATTTTCATTAGTGTTTTTTCTTTTCTTTCAGGCAACATGTGTTAGTTACAAACACTTTTAAACGCCCAAAACCAACCAACCTTTTCACAAACTTTATAGGCACTGGGATCAAACCCCTTCATGGTCTCATCCACCATGCGGATGGCTTTCTGGAATGCTTCTTCAAAATTTCTGCCAATAGCCATGACTTCGCCAACACTCTTCATAGAGCTGCCAATCTGGAAGAGAAACATGGAACAGCTACAGCGGCACACATTTTGACAACCTGCTACAGAAATAACAAATTAAAGATACTTGCTTGTTGCAACAACAAGACTACAACTTCCCAGAAAAATATACATGTTCAGTTTTGCAACAGTTTGATAAGAGATCATAATTTGATCAACACTCTTCTTCTTCTTGTTCACAGTGACTGGCTAAAAACTCCAGCTGAAGTTCTGGTTATTCGTCCACTTCCGGACCTTAGTCTTGTTCCAAAACCTGAATATTGCATGCACATTCATTTTATATATCTGACTTACTTGTGTGCAGACTGTTGGTTCCTTGCCTTTCAGTTTCCAGGCCTAAACAGCACCACAACAGACCTATTCTCATACTTACCTACCACCCTTACAACATCCGTGCTAAAAATATTCTTCTCAAGCATCTCTCCATCCTTAGGGCTGACCCTACAACCAGCAAGATTTTCCCTGAACCTCCTCTAGTGGCCTACAGACATGATCGTAACCTCAAGGACATTCTAGTCAAGAGTTGGTTACGTCTTGCATCTGAGTCCCACTTCGGCATGGTCTAATGAATGCTATGACTAGTGCTACTATGACTGTAGGCAGAAAACAAATGAAACTGTTGGACACAAAGCTTAGCTTTGTGCATCGTCGTCATCAAAGTCAAGGCTTACCTTTGGCGCCATCATCACCAAAGTCAAAATTGGCAGACGTAAGTAATTTAATTTTTAAGAAGAATACTCACTTTTGTGGACACTCTGGAGAACTTTCTCAAGTCCCACCTGGGAATCTTCACAACACAGTAGTCGAGGCTGGGCTCAAAACAAGCAGTGGTTGATCCAGTGACAGAGTTCTTCAGTAGTGGCAGGGGGTGACCCAAAGCTAGTTTAGCAGCTACGTAAGCCAGAGGGTAGCCCGTAGCTTTGCTGGCAAGGGCAGATGATCTTGACAAGCGTGCATTGACTTCAATTATGTAATACTGAAATGATAAAGGCAGTCTGGCATATTAACAATAATAAACAGTACAACGTTTTACTGACATAACAGAAAAATGCTAACCATTTAGTCACAAACTACAGTTTCCCTACATAAAATTCTTGTGATCTGTTAGTCAAATGTTAAATATCCGCAAATACACCAAAATCTCATTTAAATGGATAAAAGGATGAGAAAATCTGTCCAATACTGTTGGTTGTCCGTAGTTACTGAAATGAGGTATGCAGTATCAAAAATCTGTCCAATACTGTTGGTTGACCGTAGTTACTGAAATAAGGTGTGCAGTATCAAAAATCAACTCACCTGCTGAGAGTGTGGGTTGAGAGCATACTGGATGTTACACTCTCCAACGACACCCAGGTGGCGGATAACTTTGAGGGCAGTGGTTCGCAGCATGTTGTATTCAGCATTGGTCAGGGTCTGGCTGGGAGCTACAACAATACTTTCTCCTGTGTGGATGCCCAGGGGATCCACGTTCTCCATATTGCACACCTGCAGAGAAAACGTTACAGGTAGACTGTGAATCTATACTTATTACTAAATGTGACTTAAAGCCTTTCTAATCAAGCCTGATCTGTAGAGAAACATCTTGTTAAAACACCACTAATGACTGGCATCATGAGGCTAACAGGCTGCAATGGTTGGGGCATACGCAGAGAACGGCAGATAACAGTGAGACAAAACTTATGTCAACAGAATAGTTGAATGGTTGTAGACCAAATGGCAGATAACAGTGAGACAAAACCTATGTCAACAGAATAGTTGTAGACCAAATGGCAGACCAAGAAGACGGTGGAGAGATAACACAGACTTACAAATACTTGGAGTCACCAAATGGAAAAAGAAAGTCAATCAGTGAGATAAATGAAAGTGAATGAATGAAGCTCCAGAGCTGAATCTTTTTATGAAGTGGAATGTAAAGCATCAATATAAACAGCCTAACAACCGCATGAACAGGCTAGACAAGCTCATGAGACAAAGTGTACACCTGAGATCATTATCTCGCAGCTGTCTTTAAACACCTTCGTAGACAATCTTCCATCTTCAAACAACTCTGTATACAAACAATCTTCCATCTTCAAACACCTCCGTATACAATCTTCCGTCTTCAAACACCTCCGTATACAATCTTCCGTCTTCAAACACCTCCGTATACAATCTTCCGTCTTCAAACACCTCCTTATACAAACAATCTTCTGTCTTCAAACACTTCCTTATACAAACAATCTTCCGTCTTCAAACACCTCCTTATACAATCTTCCGTCTTCAAACACCTCCGTATACAATCTTCTGTCTTCAAACACCTCCTTATACAAACAATCTTCCGTCTTCAAACACTTCCGTGTACAAATAATCTTAACCTCGTTCGTATACATCGTCTGGTTCTCAGCTGTGGCAGACAAGTGCCATTACTGAGATAAGCTGACTCGTCTAGTTTAGGAAGTAGAGTCCAATACAATCTTTTCTCTGCTCTGTACAGGGAGATGGGTCGTAAACTATGTCAGGCTAAGTACCCGTATCGTTTTGTCTTCTCTGTTGATTATCAGGCCCCCTATTTGTTTTGCTCTGTGAGCGACAGAAAGAAGGACAGAGAAAGCTACAGAAGACATCAAGAGACAGAAAGCTTGGTCTGCTGGAGCCTATGCTCCTCTGGTAGATCAATGGCAGATTCAAGATACTAGACTGGTGGTTCCCAGTTAGATCAGACCTGCTGATCTCTTTTACTGTCAAGGGTCTGCCACAAAACCCACACTCAGCAGCTTATTTTAATTTATCAATATGAGAATCCCAGACAGGAACACATTGTAAAACTGAAGGTTTTTTCCTGTCAATGATAGCAAGGACCCCTTAAATGTGTTCTATGAACGTCCGTGAGGTTTAAGGACAACCAAATGAGAATCACTGCACTATATGGAGGCATCCTCCTTAATCAACCAAACACCCAATTATAGCACTTTACATTTGGAAATACTGCCAAACTATTACTGAATGTAATGACCAACTTCGCTGTATATAGGGACTGGGTGGCCTTTCAGTCTGAGGATTTATGTCACATTGCTAGTGCTGTCTCCATGCGCAGGTGAGCATTTTATTTGTGCCCGCAACAGAAACAAATCCCCAACCTTACCGAGGATTCGAACCCAAGTCCCCCTCTCCCCCCGCATGAGAGACCAGTGTTCTAACCACTCTGCCAGCCTCTCCCTAGCACTTTAAACAACGTCGCACAAATTTCAAGACAATACTCACTGTGATACAGTTATCATAAGCATCCCGGACAACTTCATACTCCACCTCCTTCCACCCCTTCAAGGATTTATCCACCAAAATCTGGGAAGTGTGAGCGAACGCTGCCGTGGCCAGCACAATCAGCTCATCTCTGTTGTCTGCAAACCCAGACCCCAGACCACCCAGAGCAAATGCAGCCCGAATGAGCACAGGGTAGCCAAGATGTTCTGCTGCTTGCTCAGCCTGTAGACAATCAAGACATTACAAATTTAAATATCAGAGTAGAACTTTTTTTTTAACTCCTATTTTGAGAATGCAGTTTGCCTAGTAATGTCCTTTTCTCAACGTTTAGGTCAAATTGTTCAATGCTTGCAGAAATGTTACTTCCTTCTGGCAGATTTCAACCAAGCAAAACATCAATGTCTCAATCCAATCAGCCAATCAAACAGAGCCCTAACTCTGTAAACTTGCTCATGAATAGTTAGATTATTCAGCCATTTGTAAATTAGCACTCTTGAATCACCTCTTACAACTTGGTGGACAGTTAGTCTTCCGCTGATGCGCCTCCTGTAGAGATATATTGCTAGAGCAATAACACTAAGCTCTACTGTGTGCAATTCCTCAGTGAATTCGTAGCTTTAGTCTACATTATTAAATAACATGAAAGTGCTGGCTTACATTGCCTCAAACTGTGAAGTGGTAGCTTTAGTGTACATTATTAAATAACATGAAAGTGCTGGCTTACATTGCCTCAAACTGTGAAGTGGTAGCTTTAGTGTACATTATTAAATAACATGAAAGTGCTGGCTTACATTGCCTCAAACTGTGAAGTGGTAGCTTTAGTCTACATTATTAAATAACATGAAAGTGCTGGCTTACATTGCCTCAAACTGTGAAGTGGTAGCTTTAGTCTACATTATTAAATAACATGAAAGTGCTGGCTTACATTGCCTCAAACTGTGAAGTGGTAGCTTTAGTGTACATTATTAAATAACATGAAAGTGCTGGCTTACATTGCCTCAAACTGTGAAGTGGTAGCTTTAGTCTACATTATTAAATAACATGAAAGTGCTGGCTTACATTGCCTCAAACTGTGAAGTGGTAGCTTTAGTCTACATTATTAAATAACATGAAAGTGCTGGCTTACATTGCCTCAAACTGTGAAGTGGTAGCTTTAGTGTACATTATTAAATAACATGAAAGTGCTGGCTTACATTGCCTCAAACTGTGAAGTGGTAGCTTTAGTCTACATTATTAAATAACATGAAAGTGCTGGCTTACATTGCCTCAAACTGTGAAGTGGTAGCTTTAGTCTACATTATTAAATAACATGAAAGTGCTGGCTTACATTGCCTCAAACTGTGAAGTGGTAGCTTTAGTCTACATTATTAAATAACATGAAAGTGCTGGCTTACATTGCCTCAAACTGTGAAGTGGTAGCTTTAGTGTACATTATTAAATAACATGAAAGTGCTGGCTTACATTGCCTCAAACTGTGAAGTGGTAGCTTTAGTCTACATTATTAAATAACATGAAAGTGCTGGCTTACATTGCCTCAAACTGTGAAGTGGTAGCTTTAGTCTACATTATTAAATAACATGAAAGTGCTGGCTTACATTGCCTCAAACTGTGAAGTGGTAGCTTTAGTGTACATTATTAAATAACATGAAAGTGCTGGCTTACATTGCCTCAAACTGTGAAGTGGTAGCTTTAGTCTACATTATTAAATAACATGAAAGTGCTGGCTTACATTGCCTCAAACTGTGAAGTGGTAGCTTTAGTCTACATTATTAAATAACATGAAAGTGCTGGCTTACATTGCCTCAAACTGTGAAGTGGTAGCTTTAGTGTACATTATTAAATAACATGAAAGTGCTGGCTTACATTGCCTCAAACTGTGAAGTGGTAGCTTTAGTCTACATTATTAAATAACATGAAAGTGCTGGCTTACATTGCCTCAAACTGTGAAGTGGTAGCTTTAGTGTACATTATTAAATAACATGAAAGTGCTGGCTTACATTGCCTCAAACTGTGAAGTGGTAGCTTTAGTCTACATTATTAAATAACATGAAAGTGCTGGCTTACATTGCCTCAAACTGTGAAGTGGTAGCTTTAGTCTACATTATTAAATAACATGAAAGTGCTGGCTTACATTGCCTCAAACTGTGAAGTGGTAGCTTTAGTCTACATTATTAAATAACATGAAAGTGCTGGCTTACATTGCCTCAAACTGTGAAGTGGTAGCTTTAGTGTACATTATTAAATAACATGAAAGTGCTGGCTTACATTGCCTCAAACTGTGAAGTGGTAGCTTTAGTCTACATTATTAAATAACATGAAAGTGCTGGCTTACATTGCCTCAAACTGTGAAGTGGTAGCTTTAGTCTACATTATTAAATAACATGAAAGTGCTGGCTTACATTGCCTCAAACTGTGAAGTGGTAGCTTTAGTCTACATTATTAAATAACATGAAAGTGCTGGCTTACATTGCCTCAAACTGTGAAGTGGTAGCTTTAGTCTACATTATTAAATAACATGAAAGTGCTGGCTTACATTGCCTCAAACTGTGAAGTGGTAGCTTTAGTCTACATTATTAAATAACATGAAAGTGCTGGCTTACATTGCCTCAAACTGTGAAGTGGTAGCTTTAGTCTACATTATTAAATAACATGAAAGTGCTGGCTTACATTGCCTCAAACTGTGAAGTGGTAGCTTTAGTCTACATTATTAAATAACATGAAAGTGCTGGCTTACATTGCCTCAAACTGTGAAGTGGTAGCTTTAGTCTACATTATTAAATAACATGAAAGTGCTGGCTTACATTGCCTCAAACTGTGAAGTGGTAGCTTTAGTCTACATTATTAAATAACATGAAAGTGCTGGCTTACATTGCCTCAAACTGTGAAGTGGTAGCTTTAGTGTACATTATTAAATAACATGAAAGTGCTGGCTTACATTGCCTCAAACTGTGAAGTGGTAGCTTTAGTGTACATTATTAAATAACATGAAAGTGCTGGCTTACATTGCCTCAAACTGTGAAGTGGTAGCTTTAGTCTACATTATTAAATAACATGAAAGTGCTGGCTTACATTGCCTCAAACTGTGAAGTGGTAGCTTTAGTCTACATTATTAAATAACATGAAAGTGCTGGCTTACATTGCCTCAAACTGTGAAGTGGTAGCTTTAGTCTACATCATTAAATAACATGAAAGTGCTGGCTTACATTGCCTCAAACTGTGAAGTGGTAGCTTTAGTCTACATTATTAAATAACATGAAAGTGCTGGCTTACATTGCCTCAAACTGTGAAGCGACTTATCTGACACTGCAAGTCTCCTATAACTGTTAATCAAAAATCTTTCTTTAACCCGGACCAAAAAAGAATCTTTGCTGACCCCTGACCAAGAATCATTGCTGACCCCTGACCAAGAATCATTGCTGACCCCTGACCAAGAATCTTTGCTGACCCCTGACCAAGAATCATTGCTGACCCCTGACCAAGAATCTTTGCTGACCCCTGACCAAGAATCATTGCTGACCCCTGACCAAGAATCATTGCTGACCCCTGACCAAGAATCTTTGCTGACCCCTGACCAAGAATCATTGCTGACCCCTGACCAAGAATCATTGCTGACCCCTGACCAAGAATCATTGCTGACCCCTGACCAAGAATCATTGCTGACCCCTGACCAAGAATCATTGCTGACCCCTGACCAAGAATCATTGCTGACCCCTGACCAAGAATCTTTGCTGACCCCTGACCAAGAATCATTGCTGACCCCTGACCAAGAATCATTGCTGACCCCTGACCAAGAATCATTGCTGACCCATGACCAAGAATCATTGCTGACCCCTGACCAAGAATCATTGCTGACCCCTGACCAAGAATCATTGCTGACCCCTGACCAAGAATCATTGCTGACCCCTGACCAAGAATCTTTGCTGACCCCTGACCAAGAATCATTGCTGACCCCTGACCAAGAATCATTGCTGACCCCTGACCAAGAATCTTTGCTGACCCATGACCAAGAATCATTGCTGACCCCTGACCAAGAATCATTGCTGACCCCTGACCAAGAATCATTGCTGACCCCTGACCAAGAATCTTTGCTGACCCCTGACCAAGAATCATTGCTGACCCCTGACCAAGAATCATTGCTGACCCCTGACCAAGAATCTTTGACGAGCCCTGACCAAGAATATTTGTAGTTTTCACCAAAAAAAATTAGGAAGTGTGAGTGAATAAGTGCTAATGTAAGTGCATAGATGAATGAGTGTGTATGCACACAGCCACATATTACTTCTTTGATATTGTGTGATTTCAATAAATTTATGAACAGATAAACAAACATACAACAGAGACTCTCAACTGACCTGTTCCACGGTGTATGCAGCCACACTTGGGGCCACCGACTCGTCAATCTCTGCCATCTTATCTGCAAAGATTTTCCTGTCTTCCGTCCACTCAATCGACTCCACCTGGGTGCCCAAAACCTTGACATTGTACCTGTCAAATGTACCAGATTTTGTCAAGGACACGCCACAGTTTAGAGCTGTCTGACCTCCAAAGGTCAGTAAAACACCATCTGGACGTTCGCATTTGATGACCTAAGATGACAGAAAAAACATCAGTTACAGAACTTCCAAGATACTTCAAACAATCATTACATTAGGCAACTAAAACAAGGCTATAATTTTAAAAACAAAAATGACTCCTGAAGTACACCTGAGTGTGCTAAGGTTCCCAGCAATTTCCTCGTAGGTTGTGTCTATTGCCTACACTCTATGTCCTGCTTGCATGCATCTTTAAATTAATTGCTGTCAATGATTCAATTATCAGCTGTTCCTATCAAAATGTCTTTTTGAACGCATTCATCTGACATCCCCAATCCCCCTGTGGATTCTGGGGGACCCATTTTTTTTGTATTGGGGGGTTTGGGTGGAGAGGGGAAACATCATTGCCCTCTAACAAGCAGTTCATAAAAGGCAACAAGGGTTTTTGATGATAACAGATGTATGAGGCCAACTAGCAGTTATCAGTCTCGCTATAAACACAGCCAACGTGCCAACCACCTTTTAATGGTGACCACAGAGGAACAGCACCTTGTGTCTAAATGAAAAGTTCACCACCTTCCTACAGTATTACAAAAGTGCTCATAAACGCCTTTTTTAAAAAGAAGACCTTAAAACTAAACACCAAAAACGTCTAAGAGACAACTTTTTCATTCCCATTATGCAAAAGGTCAACAAGGTCATTTAATAAAATCTCTGCCCTTAAAAAAAAAGATTCAAACCACCAGGATGGCAGACCTGCCCTGCTAGCCACTGTATTGTTACAACTTCTGTGCATACATTATGATTGTTTATGTAACAAACCACCAGGATGGCAGACAAGCCCTGCTCAGCATACCACGATCGAAACCCACTGCAGGCTGCGTGGATTTTTGTCGTGGTATGGGACGTCGCAGATCGACCCAGCCTAAAATGGGTACCAGGATGGGCTGTCCTGGGAAAGTAAAGACAGCCGGCGTAATGCTGACCACATTACCCACAGAGTGCTGATGGTCTGTAAAAATATGGGACGCTCTGCCCATATGCCCGATGCGCCGAAAGGCGTGAAAAGGGAACTTTGTACTCCTGCTAGCCACTGTATTGTTACAACTTCTGCGCATACATTATAACTGTTTATGTAACAAACCACATGAGAAGTTAAAAAGTAAACACAGCTTTAACAGCCAGATGGCCCTTTACTACTGCTGCTAAAACAAGATATTAATGTAGGTTCGTACCTGTGTGACATAGTCCGGTGTTATGGGCAGGAAGTAGACCTTGTCAGCAAGTCCCCTGGAAGTCTGTACAGTGGCGATGTTTGGGTTGATCAAGACAGTGTGGATGTTTTCTTCCTTCAAAGCTTTGATAGCCTGGCACACAATGACAACCAAACAGAATCAAATCAAACACTGTACAACATACATGAATACATTCACATGAACATAAAAATATCAGTGATGTGACAATGTCACCTGTCGGAAACCCTTGAGAAAAATAACCTTGTAAAGTCCTTCAAAAACTAATCATCATTATGTGGGTGTGTTATTGCTATCATTCCAGCCACCCTGATTTACTAGAAGATTGTCCAGTATCAACTTAAGTTGGCATCAACTCTGCAGACATGGTCAATTTGTAAATCTACATTGATGGAGAAATGAAGCATACTAGCCACCAAGCCAGTGAAGCTTCCCTAACTCAAATACATAAAATCTCTCAGAGTTCAAATCCACTACCTTTAGAGCACAACCTTGCAACACTGCCTGGTACTGTCCATCAGTCGCTTTCAAAAATGAAAATGAAAATAGTGTTCAAGAATATCAATCTGGCAGTGCACCGACCAGTCAGTCTCAACAGAACTCGGGTGTAAGACAGGGAAACCCTGTACATGGCAGATACAGCTGGTCAACAAGCAGACTGAAGGTTACAACCACATTATCATCATCATTCTGTAATACTGCATGTCACTGGGTCACCAGTTGCTGTTGACTGACTGATAAGCTCCCTCCATCTTTGAAGGTCAGGTGCAACAACTGACTTCGTGGTTGTATGCTTAAGGCATTTCCACTCAGTCATGTTTTGTATGCAAGTCTTTCTTGGTCTGTCTCTTGACCTCTGCTCAGTGTTTTAGAGAGACCGTTAGTTCTGACTACAACCACAGCTAATGAGCATACCTGTGAACCAGAGTAGTCGAACTCTCCAGCCTGGCCAATAGAGAGACCCCCGGATCCCAAGATCAGGACCTTCTTGGGGAGAACTGTGTTACATGGAGTCAATGGGATCCCTTCCGTCGTCAAATGTTTGCGTATTCTCTCTTTAACTGTCAAGCTTTATAATAAAAAGTGTAAAACAAATATTCGTTTATGAAGATATCAAATGCAATGTTTAGCGCCTCAGATAGAAGAAACTAGAGAGGTGCTAAATAAATGAGAAACTGAACTAGATCAAATCTGAGATAACCCACTGTATGACATCAATGTCACAGATCTACTGTTGTTCTGCTCCCCCAAAATGGGGCCTCACAACTACATGGGAAAGGATGCATATAACACTAACTATAATGTCCCCAGTGATGCACAGGTGGCTGTATTTTCTCAGTGCACAAACTATAGAATCTGCATTAACATGAAGCAAACAAATTAATCCTTTCAGCTAATTTAAATAAACCAGTGCCATGTTTTATTGCCAAGTTCACCACAGTGATCTTAAATAAACCATGTTTCTTCTGTTAGCATCTTCAACTGCCAATATAAAACCCATCGAAAGCAATTTTATGACGAGGGCAGTTCTATCCTTCAAGATGTTGCACTGACAGGCCTTTATCAGTAAACAAAAAACAAATCACAAAAAAAAAGGAAATTACACTAAATGTCTAAAATAACTACATTACTGCATTACAATATAAGGTAAACATATGAAACAAAAATAAGCAAGCACAGTGAAATGTGCTCCAACACTCCAGATCTTCTTTTGATAAGTTCGTTTTTTTTTAAAAATGTTTTCAAAGCTTTAAAAAAAAACTATTTTCAGGCCAACTTTGTGCTACCAGTTTCAAACTTGTTAATATTAAAAAACAAAACAGACGAAATATCTTAGAACAGATGCCCAGAGTAATGACAAGATTTACAATTAAACATGAAGCCAAACATATAGTTTATTAAAGAACAACAGAGGAGATGATTTGGCCATCTGACAGGAATACCCTGGTACCAACGTCACAGACAACTATTCTGACTATACATAATGGACACACAGCAAGGGGAAGACCATGCAGAACATGGAATGATGGAACTCACGAAGACCAACTTATGAAACGCACCAAAAAGATCCTTACACCCCCCACACTTTGATAAAGTAACCAAAGCAAGTGAAAAAGAAGAAGAAAATAAAAAACAGAAGACATATTCAATACATAGCATTTATCACATGGTAAAATAACTGATGCACTCACCCATTTGTTCCCTGTTTATGGGAGCGGACCTGGTCTAGAAAGACATCAAAGAGAACCTCTAAATCTTGGGGGCCAGCATGATTCTCTGGGTGAAACTGAACACTGAAAACAGGCAAGGAGCTGTGGACTATCCCTTCATTAGTTTTATCATTAGCATTGGTGAAAAGGGGGCGCCAGCCAGCAGGCAGTGTGTTGGTGTCCACGGCAAACCCGTGGTTCTGACTGGTAATGAAACACCGGATGCTGTCCTCATACATACAGGGCTGGTTGTGTCCTCGGTTGCCGTATCTGGTTGGAATACAACAACAAAATTACTAAACTACAGTAATCGTAGTGCTATGGTGGATTTATAGCTAATGGTATTCTGTGTACGTAATGATGTAAATAAGACAATGACATGGTTGATACAGAGACACACAAAAAAAGAAGTAGCAATCACAAAAAGGTTTTAAAAAAATATATACACACAAATCTTATTTTCAAGAACATACTTCATTTTGAATGTTTTGGCTCCAATGGCCAGGGAAAGCAGCTGATGTCCAAGACAAATGCCAAAGAGGGGTTTGCAGTTTGGATCACTGACTACGCTGCGGATATTCCGAATAGTTTTATCACACATGACTGGGTCACCAGGTCCGTTGCTAATGAACACACCATCAAACTCTGAAGAAGAAAGGGAATAAAAATTACAGAAACCATTTTATAACATGATAGCTCAATATTCATTCCTCTTTTCTACTCTAGAATGAATGTAGTAGACATTATGGTCTGTCACCTGGCCTAAACATGATATCACATCAGGTGAAATGAGATGTATAAAAAAATGCAACAGGAAAAGCAAGAGGATGTTGTCTCATCAACAACAACAAAACTAAGAACAATGGTAGGCACAGTACAAGTTAATGATTTCACAGAACATTCAAGAATCAAATGGTTTGGTTATCTGGTTACAATGGAACGCAACCAGCCAGCTGCCAGGGCCCACTATATGAGAACATCAGGCTAAGGCCCACCAAGAAAGAGAGGCATGGAGAGAGTAAAAGAGACACTACCAAAAAAAAATGCAAATATGACAATAACGCAAGAAGTTCTGCAACAAGCAAAAGACCGGAATCTACATGTGATTGTTCTCTGCAACCTTTATGGCATAAGCAGTAGGGCAACAGAAGAAGATCTGGCATTTAAACATGGTATTCCTCGTGTGGGTTCCAGGGTCCTATTGATTGGGAGGATCCTTCAAAGTCGGAGTACACCTGCCTGAGAGGCAGAGGCAAGGACCCAACAGTCTGCACACAAACAAGTCAGACCTGTCAAATGGATGTGCATGCAATACTCAGGCTCTGGGACAAGACTAAGAGTCCAGAAGCGGACTAATAACCAGATCTTCTGCCAGAGTTAACAGGTGGTGAATGCCAAGAAGACAAATATAGTATAATTACATGGAGATTGCAGAGATATGCCTCTGCAGAAGAATTCTGATTCAAATAAGCCCTCAGGTTGTCAACAGAGTTCAGAATTATTCAACCACATTAAATCATCTGCCTCACATTATGAAGGTTGTAGGTTTATTTCACAGACACATCATTCAGTTCATGTGTCTTTACAGCGATCGGTGGTGATCCTCACTCAAGCTACAGAGTGTGTGCTGTGTGTGACACTCAGCAGGCTGGCTGTTCTGCCAAGAGACAGCAAGCTATAAGAGATACCCCTGTGAAATGAAGTCGATGCACTAAACTTTTAATCAAACTACTCTGCTAACCTCAAACTGTTGAGATATTTTATAAATTACACATTGATAACCTGTTATCTTTTTTTTCTCACCCTTTTTTGAACAGGTTAGGTAACTTACCTCAATACAATGCTTTTAAATGGCAGGCGAATACCCTACTTTCAAAGCTCTCTGTCACACTGTTTTATAGAAGAGATACCTTGAGCCACATGCGTTATTTCAGCTACTGATGCTACAGCAACAATCCATTAATGAATACATACAGGCAGGCAGGCATGTGTACATACCTGCTGGGTTCAAAGGATGGTCCCAGGGAACTACAGTGACCGAGGCTCCCCTGGCACACAAACACCTAATCTGGTTGTATTTCATGCCACAGTCCACAGCCACAATTTTCACATCTCCGTCAGGGTTGTAAGTTTTTGTTGCCTGCAAGTAACACAACTCATTATAATCACATCTCCGTCAGGGTTGTAAGTTTTTGTTGCCTGCAAGTAACACAACTCATTATAATCACATGTCAGATACGGTTTTAACAAGTCGGGTCTCTGAGGCAAAGTGGTTAAGCCTTTTGCCTCATGTTCTAAAGGTTGTGTGTTCAGTTTCTCACACCAAGAAATCCACGGGGGGGGGGGGGGGGGGGGGGGGGAGCCACAGTCGATGGAACCGTTTGATGCCCTGGACATAAGAGCAGCTGCTCTACTGCCTACTGGGTGTGTTTAAACCCCCCCCCCCCCCCCCTCCACTCCAAGGCAGGACTTCAGACCTGAGCAGTAAATGCGACCAGCTAATTTGCCACATTAATCAGGGATACTGGAAGAGAGTCGGCTCTGTGGCTAAGTCGATGCGAACGCTTCGTAATGCCGGGTTCGATCCCAGCTGTGAGCCATGTGCCTTGTGTTGGTTTTGACAGTGGCATCAGGGAGCCGACCGTCCAGAAAGCAATGGCAAACTACTGGAGGTAAATTAGCTTGAGAAACCACACAACAGCCAACGGCTGCTGGGGTTGGTTCTGCAACGTCCTGTAAAGGATACGCAACTAACCTAAGCGGAAAAGAAAATATAAGGCTATTATAGTCCGTGGCTAAGGCGTTGCGAGTCCGACTCGTAAGCCAGCATACGCGATCGAAACCCACTGCAGGCTGCGCAGATTTTTGTCGTGGTATGGGACGTCGCAGGTCGACCCAGCCTAAAATGGGTACCAGGATGGGCTGTCCTGGGAAAGTAAAGACAGCCGGCGTAATGCTGACCACATTACCCACAGCGTGCTGATGGTCTGTAAAAATATGGGACGCTCTGCCCATATACCTGATGCGCCGAAAGGCGTGAAAAGGGAACTTTACTTTACTTACTTATGTTTTCTTGCATGAAGGGGGATCCTTAACTGACTCTTCATCTTTGCTTCTTGGTGTTCACCGGTTGTAAACCCCAGCGGAAAGTTCTGGTTGTTCGTCCACCTCTAGACTTAAGTCATGTTCCTCAACCTGAGCATTGTGTGCACATCCGTTTTACAGATCTGACTTATCTGTGTGCAATCTGTTGATTCCGTACCTATCAGGCAGATGCACTCCAACTTCAAAGGAAGCGCCCATTTAGTTGACTCTTGTGATATGCTTGTTAGGAAGACAGTGGGTCAATTCTTGTTTTTCCCACAAGGGGGCCCCAGAGCCCACACGAGGATTGCTCACTCTATATTTCAGACATTTGACTTTGAACTTGACAAGCTGCAAAACTGACACTTTTGGTTGGATCCAATTCCTAGAGAGGGTAAATTTTCCAATCTGCTTGTAGATGTGACCCTGTTCATGTGACCCCTTGCTAATTGCACTGTTATTGCTTGCACCCCTCCACACTTAGAACAGCCAGAAACCACATTTACTATTCTTTAAACGCATTCAGACGAGTTTTTTAAACGCATTCAGACGAGTTTTCCTGTGACAAAAATAGTTTTATTAATAGAAATGATTATACTGCTCCGTGTCAGCCTGCAACTGGGAGTAAATCAATTAGTACTCGTAAACATTCATTTATAGACTCATGGAGATGTGACCTAGTCAATTCTGGGCTGCATTCATGTTTACTAATGACTTACATATTCTGTATATTGAATACTGTTTTGGTCAATATGTGGAATTCTTTTATTCTATGATTCTTCTTCTTCTTCTCTGCGTTCACCAGCTGTAAAACTTTGGTGGAAAGTTCTGGCTGTTTGTCCACTTCTGCAGTCCTGTTCCAGAACCTGAGTGTTGTGTGTGCAAACGTTTGACATATCTGACACATTTGTGTGCAGACTGTTGGTTCCTTGCCTCCCAGGCAGATGCACTCCGACTTCAAAGGAAGATTCCAACTAGTCGACTCTTACTACATGCTTTTAGGTAGGCAGTGGGTCTTTTCTTGTTTTCCCTATAATAGGGCCCCGGAACCCACACGGGGGGAATTCCATGATTCTTTTGGTGACGTGTGTCCCAAAAATTTTCAGACATACCACTGGATGATGCATGTCAATGCCAACAAACTTACCTTGGAAGAGACCTCTGCCACCAGATTCAACTTGTCAGGATCGATAAACTTCAAACCATTCTCACTGCCAATGATCACCTGAAAAATAAGTTTGCATTTTCTGCAACCCCATCATTATGTCTGAGTTTTGTGTTTAAGTCTCTGACAATGACATACTTGAAACATTGCGGGAACCATGACCCAGGCAGTGAAGCATGCACACCGTGCAGTATAAAACCTGGTCACACACTAATATGCCTCTTCACGGGTATGAATTGTCAGCGAATCAAACTTGACACCCGGCTGGTTCCTGGGCTTATGGGGCACAGCTCTGCAACACAGTTCCTGGTCATGAGAGAATATTAAACTGACCAGGACCAGCTGTTTTCAGAGTTCCCAATATCTGAATGCCAAGGCATAAGGTTTTTAATGAAAACAAAGTCTTCCAGAGGGTTCAACAAGCAAACAATCATGTTCATCATGATTTTTTTTAAATAAAATAGACATAGGTGAATCTCCCAAACTTTACAACTTCAGACTACACATCAACCATCAATAACACCCTCTATACCTATACATTTGTTTTTTAAATAGACATAGGTGAATCTCCCAAACTTTACAACTTCAGACTACACATCAACCACAGTAAAAATGTCATGGGCCTCAGGAAGACTCAACAAACCTTAGATCAGAACAAAAGCAATTATTGATACTACCAAAATTATACTTCGCAAAAAACCTATACATTTGTTTAAACACAAAATAACAATTATAGGAAACTAGACAAGAGAGGTAGAGATATATCATTTATAAGAAAGATACAAAATCATTCAATGAGTTGTGGTCTCCACAAGAAAGGTTGGCAGCAAAGATCTCCAACACTGTCTCTTGAGCATTCTGTCACCAACAATGGGCTGGACTGTCTTGTAAACCAAACTGGACATCTGATATCAAGGCTGGTAACAAAATTTATCCAAATCAGCAAGACCACCATATTAACAGAAATATCAATTATCAATACTTGGGTAACATGAGAGGTTACTAAAATAGCCTACAATAAATTAACAGATACTGACTGCCACCCACTGAAGCAGAGAAAACAATTTGAGGACAGGTTGATTTCATAGCAATTATTCACATCTGGTCACTGTGTAAGAGGAAATGGACATTGTAATATATTGATTTTGGAAACAAAAATGCGCAAATGTTCTCTAAAACTAAATAAGCAGTCTTACTTTGCCTAGTAATGTCCCTTTCTCTCGGATTTTTTTCGTAAGGGCTCTTGTATCAATTCCTTTAAAGAAGAAAAAATAACATTTGTTACTAGTTATCGCAGACTTTATTTTTTAACTCATGCAGCACATTAAAGAATTCACATATACGACAGACCAGTTTACTCAGTACAGATCACAGATTTATATAACATGAAGTTCTCGGAATCCACAAAGCTCATTTAAAATAGATCACTGACTTCACAAAACTGATGCTTTACATGTAACAAAAGGCTAATTCAGTACATATTACACGGGGTCCTGATGGAGCATTCATGTACCAGACAACTCTATATGTCTCACAGCCACTCTTGCTCAAGTCTACCTCACCTTCATGTCTCTCAGCCACTCTTGCTCAAGCCTACCTCACCTTCATGTCTCTCAGCCTCTCTTGCTCAAGCCTACCTCACCTTCATGTCTCTCAGCCTCTCTTGCTCAAGCCTACCTCACCTTCATGTCTCTCAGCCTCTCTTGCTCAAGCCTACCTCACCTTCATGTCTCTCAGCCTTTCCTGCTCAAGCCTACCTCACCTTCATGTCTCTCAGCCTCTCTTGCTCAAGTCTACCTCACCTTCATGTCTCTCAGCCTTTCTTGCTCAAGCCTACCTCACCATGTCTCTTAGCCTCTCTTGCTCAAGCCTACCTCACCTTCATGTCTCACAGCCTCTCTTGCTCCAGCCTACCTCATCTTCATGTCTCACAGCCTCTCTTGCTCAAGCCTACCTCACCTTCATGTCTCACAGCCTCTCTTGCTCCAGCCTACCTCACCTTCATGTCTCACAGCCTCTCTTGCTCCAGCCTACCTCACCTTCATGTCTCACAGCCTCTCTTGCTCCAGCCTACCTCACCTTCATGTCTCTCAGCCTCTCTTGCTCAAGCCTACCTCACCTTCATGTCTCTCAGCCTCTCTTGCTCCAGCCTACCTCACCTTCATGTCTCTCAGCCTCTCTTGCTCAAGCCTACCTCACCTTCATGTCTCTCAGCCTCTCTTGCTCAAGCCTACCTCACCTTCATGTCTCTCAGCCTCTCTTGCTCAAGCCTACCTCACCTTCATGTATCTCAGCCTTTCCTGCTCAAGCCTACCTCACCTTCATGTATCTCAGCCTCTCTTGCTCAAGTCTACCTCACCTTCATGTCTCTCAGCCTTTCTTGCTCAAGCCTACCTCACCATGTCTCTCAGCCTCTCTTGCTCAAGCCTACCTCACCTTCATGTCTCACAGCCTCTCTTGCTCAAGCCTACCTCACCTTCATGTCTCACAGCCTCTCTTGCTCCAGCCTACCTCACCTTCATGTCTCACAGCCTCTCTTGCTCAAGCCTACCTCACCTTCATGTCTCACAGCCTCTCTTGCTCCAGCCTACCTCACCTTCATGTCTCACAGCCTCTCTTGCTCCAGCCTACCTCACCTTCATGTCTCACAGCCTCTCTTGCCCCAGCCTACCTCACCTTCATGTCTCTCAGCCTCTCTTGCTCAAGCCTACCTCACCTTCATGTCTCTCAGCCTCTCTTGCTCAAGCCTACCTCACCTTCATGTATCTCAGCCTTTCCTGCTCAAGCCTACCTCACCTTCATGTCTCTCAGCCTTTCTTGCTCAAGCCTACCTCACCTTCATGTATCTCAGCCTTTCCTGCTCAAGCCTACCTCACCTTCATGTCTCTCAGCCTTTCTTGCTCAAGCCTACCTCACCTTCATGTCTCTCAGCCACTCTTGCTCAAGCCTACCTCACCTTCATGTCTCTCAGCCTCTCTTGCTCCAGCCTACCTCACCTTCATGTATCTCAGCCTTTCCTGCTCAAGTCTACCTCACCTTCATGTCTCTCAGCCACTCTTGCTCCAGCCTACCTCACCTTCATGTCTCTCAGCCTCTCTTGCTCCAGCCTACCTCACCTTCATGTATCTAAGCCTTTCCTGCTCAAGTCTACCTCACCTCCATGTCTCTCAGCCACTCTTGCTCAAGTCTACCTCACCTTCATGTCTCTCAGCCACTCTTGCTCAAGCCTACCTCACCTTCATGTCTCTCAGCCACTCCTGCTCAAACATACCTCACCTTCATGTCTCTCAGCCACTCTTGCTCAAGCCTACCTCACCTTTACAAGGTGGATCCTGCTCTCTCCAGTAATCCAATAGAAGGTTGAGGTTTCTTCTTCTTCTTTGTGTTTACATGCTGTAAACTGGGGGAAAGTTCTGGTTGTTCTAGACTTTAATTTTGTTCCAGAAGTTGAACTTTGCATGCGCATCCATTTAACAGATATGGCTTATCTGCATGCAGACTGCAGGTTTCTTGCTTTTTAGGCACACTTTAACTCCGAAGGAAATATCCCCCCAATTAGTCTACTTTTATAGCATGCTGGTGAAGAGGCTGTGGGTCTATTGTCCCCTACCCTCCTCCAGAACCCACACGGGAAGGCTGGTTCCAATCCTCAGCAGAAAATTAGATGAAACAAGCAACAAGGGATGAGCCCACTCTGTGAAGAAATCCTGAAGTTGTTAATACTGGACCTGAAAGTGGATTTTCAAAAACAAAAAAAAGCTCAGTACCAATCTGGCTATTAAGGAGACTACAGTATCACACCAGATAGTGCACAAGTCCTGCAGTACATTTCACAACAGAAGACTTACCATGGATCCCGGGAACATTCTGCTCCTTCAGCCATTCTGACAGAGACTTCTTGGCACTCCAGTGAGAATACTTCTCAGTCAGACTCCCCACCACCAAGGCTGCGGCATGAATCTTTTCAGATTCGAACCACTTTGGAAGTCCAAAGCTGTCTGTTTCACTGCCCCCTACACCATAGTTTCCAATCAATGGATATGTCAGTACTAAAATCTGTCTATGATAGGATGGATCTGTCAATGATTCTGGGTACCCAACCATGCCAGTCTGAAACACTTTTTAACAAACAAAAACTTTTGTTAGTTTACATAAAGATATTTAATTACATGTAAAAACTAACAAAATATCTGGCTTTTAGGTTGTCAACATATGTAACAATTGCATGATCCGAGTGTGCTAGGATTTTATTTCCACTGCAGACGGTTTGGGGAGAGGGGGAACCAGCTTTCTGGTTTTCTTACGGTGGTAAGAGAGTCATGCTGTGGAAGAGACCGAGGCCTCACCAATAATACAGTAAAAATATCGTTAGCAATTCCATGGGATTGAAAAATACATGCTTCAAAGGTCTGTGCTAACCGAGGACTCGACTTATTATATCCCTGCTGGGACCAAAATGGTGTTCATGCTAACAATGTGTGCTTCTGTTAAATCATCTTTGTTATCAACAATCTCTGGTCATGTGATTTACCCACCTGGGATATCTGCTTAGTTTCCCAATGCTTAGCCGTCAGGTCTATTGGATGTGGCCATATGTTGCTTCGCAGTCCGCCAAGAGAGGACAGTCTTGCAAGAGGCTATCTAGTTCATAGATTATTTACATAAGAGTTTGTTGAGCCTGTAGTGTCCTGTGCCCAAGTGAAAGACAGTTATTTGTTTAGATGTTCAAGGCCTTCTTTTCTATCATCCATTATTTGTTTTCCAGTCTGTTTCTGATTTTCTCTTAATAAGGGTTTTCACTTCTAGAAAGACAATGGCTGGTATATATGTTGTTTGACACTTTCTTCCTTGGCTAAGGCAACCATGCTTTTATCTCCTCAGGCAGATGGGATCCACATTCTGTTAATGAGGTTTTACTATATTCTTAAAGACAGCAGTAGCCAACCTTCACGGTGGAGATGGCACATCATTTTTTAAGACTAATGAAGGTGTCACATTATATATTTTTTTCAACACTTATCAGTGGAAACACTCTGGACAAACAAAATGATAGTCTGGTGTATGGCCTTGTCTTATCTGGCAAATGTCTAATCAAGTAAAACAACTTTTTTCTGTGCTGGTTAAAACCTTGGATTAAACATATGAAAAGACTCTCAGGACATGCTGGAGGGCAGTGTTTTACAGGCTTTGCTCCTCTCCAGAGCCGCAGATCACACACAGTTAGATGCCACTGTTTGCTGACCATAACGCCTTTAGAAACAAAGTCAAAAGGTGAAATAATTAAAACTACCAAACTGTTAAACACTACAAAACAAATCATACATGGCATTAAAAAACTGGCAACATTTAACAGTCAGCCAGATCCAGGCACCAGTCTTCTGTCTGACAGGAAGGAAGAATACTAAACCAAAACAGAACTGGTTTCATAAATGGCCACACGTTGAAGTACTTGTGACGGAATCGGAGCATAGATCGACAGAATATTTCAGTGTGCAATGAGGATTATGTATGACTAACTAACAAAATAAAGTGAATGAAATTATAAAATTACTAACCAACTTCTCCAGGTACAGATGTTTCTGCTCCGAAGGAGATGCCCTTGTAAACTGTTCCATCCTCCAGATGGAGAAATGCGTCCACTTCAGGCATTGTTACTTTGATCAGTATTTATATATAAAAATGATTCCTGAAAAATAATAAGTTGATATTATAAATGACTCCGGGTAAATACGTTGCTGTTAATATAAATGCAGACATATTAGCTTCTCTCTGTTTCTTGAAAAATCAAATGCTTACAATAATTACAAATATAACCCAACTTTACCCAAAATAATGAACTTTCATATCGGAAAACAAGACGAACAGCAGCATTACTTTTAATTTTTAACTCTTGTAATACTAGATTTAGCAGCAGAAAGAAAACCGTGTGCATCGCCCCTGAAAACCTTTGGGGAAAGTTTTTTTTTTTTTTTTTATCTTTTCCCCAAAAAATGTACTTTACACACCGGTGTTTTTAGTCCTGTCTGACAGGCACACTTGTGGGGACTGCACAATCTTTATTTTATGCATGTGCTAGTTGAGCCTACATTGTCCTGTTCATGGACGGAAAATTGTTGCATGATGCTTTCTGTTGAGTCTGCTGATGGGGTCTTGTGGATGTTTACTGTTAGTTTGTTCTCTCCACAATTCCTTGTATTTTCCTTTGATGAGTGTTTTGATTTCTGGTAATAACAATGAATGGGTGTATTGTTTCTCCTGTGTTCCATTTTTTATAAGTCTGCCTGCTAACTCATTTCTTCTCATGCCGCAGTGAGCCTGGATAAACTGGAGAATGATTTGATTCTTTTCTGCAAGGCTGTTTAGCTGACAGGCCTGTTCTTTTGCTCTATGTTGTCTCGTGGATCCCTCTGATTCGCCTGGATGACTGACATGCAGTCACAAATAAAAACAATTTTGCCGTTTTTAATTTTTCTTTCCCACGTTGAAGGATCTTTAGAAAGGATGTCCCTGTTTTTTGCGAAGTATAATTTTGATAGCATCAATAATTGCTTTTGTTCTGATCTGAAGTTTGATGAGTCTTCCGGAGGCAAATGACATTTTTACTGTGGTCGCATCTTGCAGCATGATGACCAATCCAGCTCTTTCTGGGTTTCTTTCTGCTCCACCCAGTGATCCATCAGTGTAAACATGTGTTCATTCAGGTTTTGATTAAGAGTTGTAGACATCTTCAAGGGTCTTTGCATGCAGTACTAGGCCACATTCTGCAGCCTTTCTGTCTATGCATAGGGTTTGATTTGATTTAAGAACCAACATCACAGCACTCAGGGCATTCCCATAAGCGCTCCATCCCCATCTTCAGCAGTAAGCGAAGAGTTCTGATACTAATGATGCCAGTAGCATTCTGATTAAACATCCGTCTTGCCTTTCCTCTGAGCCTCGAGCATCTGCCAGAACCTCTCGTCACTCCCTCCTGCATCAATCTCACCAGACTGTGGTGATCCATCTGCTCCTCGGAACTACAAGGCACTAACCACATCTGCCTTATCATTTATCAGTATTCCACCACGCTGTGCAGAGCCAACCAGTCTGTCCGCCTGTTAATTTCCTGTGCATGTGATTGTTATTGCAACTGTGGTTCTATGCTGTATGCCTGGGGGATTTTTCCCTTCTGGAGTGCATGGCAAAAGTGCATGCTTGTTGGCGCCTCTAATGCCATGTGTTTACCGAGCATCAGCAGTCTTCGTCTTTGTAGCATCTGTACGAGACAAGGAGACCTGCATTGGCTTTCTGCAACAGTATGACATTTTGCACAGAACGAGACAGTGCAGAAACAACCATCAGTTATTATCGCTGTTGGAAAGACACATGACCGTTTACCGGTGTCAAAAGTCCACCTGTCGTCTGGACATACCCGTACGGCAGATTGCAGACCTCTTTCGACTATACCGCTAATGCCAAGAGTATCCCCGCGCGGCGCAGAGATAAACTAGATGGCTGGGATTCACGAGCAGCAGCTACCTCATCTACTGCAGCTTCCTCCTTTTTATTTGCTCGTGAGTCCCAGCGATAATTTTAGGGGATACTCTCAGCGGTGGGGGTATAGTTGCTAGAAAGAGGTCCGCAATTTACATGTGACTGAGATGCTGGTGATGTATATTTTCGGCCTCGATAATTTGGGACCGTTATTCGGAGGATTAAAAAAAAAACTTACAATTTAAATTTTTTTTTTAAATTAACACACACCAAAAAAAAACATGAAGCCACGTAGGGATTGAACGCAGCACTCTTCATTTACAAGGCGGATATAAGATCAACTATGCTACATGACAAAATAATATAAAAACATGACCAGTATTGTACACCAGGGAATTGCGCATCAATAAGCAGAAGACTGCGCAACAACAGACAGATATATGCCACACCAAAATGCACTAGAAGAGAAACGACAGCATCAGCACACTTGCACCCCTTTAAATAGTGGACTGTCAAGTCAGCTGTGGAATTCCCACAGATTCCCCGTTTGGGGTTCGTAAAAAATGTACTCACTGTTTTCTGCGAAGTATAATTTTGATAGATAGTGAAAGCTTTGTTTTCAGTCGGTTTTTAGTTAAGTTGTTTGCTATTCTGCGCGTGTGGTTTTTGTTCATGCGTTTAGCAACTTTTCTTTCCTTCGAAGGCTCAAGCTCTGTAGGCCAGAAGTTGCCTCCAGCTCACTGATGATTCTGAGACCGGTGTTCTGTATTGTGTCCAGTTTGTATAGTTTATTTCTGCGTGGTCAACTTCTGGGTTGAGAGGAGCCGCATGGCAAAAATATATCAAAAGCACTTAAAGCACATGCAGCAGAGAAACGCAGATAGATAAGCTGCGGAGGACTTCGCAGAAGCTGCGTAAGATAGCTTCACCTAAGAGCCTTTGATGTGACAGAAAATAAAGGACAGGAAAGTGGAGCCCTGATAATGTCTCTTTTTAAGTGGATACTTGAAAAACAAGACAACTTGTCTACACCTTGAAATACAGACATACTAATTAATGTGTCTCAAGGGTGCCACAGCTAGTGACAGGATATTCTATGTCAGACAGTGACACAGGATTGGGCAGGTAGACTGGGTACAGTGAATAAAGTTAGACACAGCAAACCGAAAAAAAAATGTAGTGTCGGTCAAAACAGGATATGCTGGGTCGAAGGCTGAATGTAACAGAAAACTTTATGGACTCAGAGAAACACAAGGGGAAAAGTGAAACCTCAAAGACAGATGGAGATAATTATTAGTGATGAGACAGTCAAGTTTGGCTATCCTCCGAATAATGGTCCAAAATTATCGAGGCAGAAAATGTACATTAACTCGGCCTAAGTCGCATGTAAATTGCAGACCTCTTCTGGGGACTACACAGCATACCGCCAAGAGTATCTCCCGACTGCTACACGCAGCGAGGCTAAACTAGATGGCTGACTGCTGCTCGTGAATCCCAGTCATCTAGTTTAGCCATGCTCCGCGCGTGGGAGATACTCTCAGCAGTGACTTTAACTCGGCGGAAGCTTTTTCGCGGTATGGTCACCGGAAGAGGTCCGCAATTTACATGTGACTGAGGCCGTTAGGGTATATTTTCGGTGTCCATAATTTGGGACTGTTATTCTGAGGATAGCCCAAGTTTCAATCAACATGAGCAAAGCTGCAGGAGATGGTAAAGACAGGTCAGATTGCCTACTTAGCTGGTTGATACCCATCTAAAAAGCACTTTTTTTGTGCTATCTTTCGAATAAGGGTCTCAAATTATCGAGGCAGAAAATTTACCCTAACAGGACCTCAGCCACGTGTCAATTGTGCACTTCCGACGACTTAAAATTGCGCACTTCCGCTCACGCGACGTGGATTGGGGCTAAACTAGATGGCTGGGACTCACGAGCAGCAGCTACCGCATTTCCTGCAGCTGCCTTGATTTTATTTGCTCAGTTTAGCCCCAATCCACGCCACACGAGCGGCAAGGGGGATACTCTCGGTGGTGGCAGTAAACCCGGGAGTTCGCAATTCGGCAGTGGCGGTATAGTCCCCGGAAGTGCGCAATTGACACGTGACTGAGGCCCTGTTAGGGTATATTTTCTGCCACGATAATTTGGGACCATTATTCGGAAGATAGCCTTTTTTTTTTATTATACTTATTATAATTTATAGTACGCAGTACCATTCTAATGCAAATTTTTTTTTTTTTGCAACATATACAGACAACGAATGGTGAGCAAAGCAAGTTTTTGTATACACCTTTTGGTGAGTACAGGCTTTTTTTTTTTCAATTTTTCCTAGAAAAAAATTTGTCATTAATCTGCTTTCTTTGAGAGGTAAAAGAGACAGGAGGAGGGGGAATTATTCCCGGAATGGTGGAGGAAAAAGAGGAAACTAAAGTAAAAATTGGAGAAGTAAAAACAGCCAGTAGAAAAAACTTAGAAAAATAGTACTTTACATTTCATTTTTTATTATTATACACAGACGATTTCAACCGATTATGGCTTATTATTACTTAGTATATATCAATACATTTCATGTTTTGGTAATTCAAAATTGGCTTCCCTTTGTTTTGTAAGGCGGTGTGCCAAGCTGTCGTGATTTCTCAGTTCTGATTGATTAGAAAAAAAATGTGTGCACTTGAAAGTTCCCACCACGTCTACAGACTGCTAACAGAAAGAAGTGTATGTAACCGTACTAAAATGCAGACGTTCTGTAAAAACAACCAACAAGAGATAAACCGACAAAACTCATGCCTTCCACATTTGGCCAGCAAGCGACCAGGCGGGCACAATTCTACTTTCGATATCGCCACTTCTAGTTCCGGTCGTCTCCTCTCTCGCAGACGATACAAGCAGCTTTAAACTTTACTTTCATAAATACACAATAAATCAAAACAATACAGATATTAGTAACACACAAGGGCGAAATATGGCTGTTATACAGGTTACGAATAAAGATGCTTATGTTTCGTTTTCATCGTATCTTATTTTCAAGCGATAATTATAAATAGTTTATTATTTCTCGCGATCGATCCAAGTTTAGCTAGTGCTACCCATCATCCAGTTCATCCACGTGCATCTCACGGACGTCGCCGCTTATCTTCCCGGCTTTTAATCAATACCGTTAAACTACTGCCGACAGATGTAA